TCTGCGGGTCACCTATTTATGTATGTTACTGTATACAATAGCGAATTTTACACTCAACTAATTAGGAACATTTTCCTGAAATAGCATATGAAGGACAACTTGGAAGCACCCTTTAAGTAAATTTAGCATATGCAAATGGTTGATGCGTAGGAAATTTAATTTCCGTAAAGTGTTTACCACAACGTCCCTACCTACCGGAAGGGTTGGATAAACAATGTGGTGGCGAAATCTAAGGTGGTTTTGCCAGCCAAGAGCGTGTAGCCCGTTGGTAACGCCCTAATGGACTCTCTTACTACTGAGCACCAAGAAGTTGGAGTTTGAAATGGTATTTGTGCTTGAGGATCTAGATGTATAATGTTGGGGAATAGAACAGACTCAAAAAGTATGCATCTTTCAGCGATTTCAGAAGTAAATTACAGCATATCAACAAAGAGAGAACGGCCAAAGTGCTTAAAATCATGCAATTCCTTAGGAAAACCTTCTCAACATAAAGTTGTCATGTCGAAAAGACCAAGTTAAAGTCCGTCGATAGCAAACTATTTTGAAGGTCTTTTTTCCTGGCTAACAAGGCATTATGCATGAGTACTTTGTAAATACTAAATCAAATAGTAAAGAGAGCACTTTAATGGCACAATGATCCAATGGGGGTGGGTCAGTTCAACGCCTCTGTGACGCTTAAAAGAGTTATAAGGGAATGCGCATACAATGATGTCAATACAAAAACTTTGGAAGAGCAGCAGAAGAACCGATGTTCCCTTTGCAAAGCCACTATGAAACCCTGGTCTAAGCGCTTATGCTGACAGCGCGGGCACTAAGATTGGAGGAGTACACAAAATACGCAACGCATGTGTGCTTAATGCGATCTTGTGCGCCAAACCGGGAGTGTTAGCAGCCGGTTGGGTGTCGATTCAGTTCCATGGCCTGTGCTTCCGCCTCATAGAGGTTAAATTTTTGCATTAAAAATCACGATCAGATAAAACCGACACGCACGACTTGGCAACCATCAAATTAGCCCCCGACCACTTCCGTCCTCCCCCTTTTCGTGGCTTTTGACGACCACAAAGAGCCCATACCTATCTGCTCGGAATCCATGAAAGAGAAGTAGTATTTAATCATGATTCTGAGGAATGCCAGAAACAACTCTGGCTTACTTTCGTAAGAAACTAATTTACCTTGCCGTTCAAAGTTTAAACTCAGTCTTCAAACGTGTCTGCTAAAACCTGTTTTCAAACACCCAGACTATAGTCTAATCAAAACATTAGCTCTAGAAACGAGGCGAAGACTTTCGTCAATTGAGAATTTTCTGCAATAACGGAAGCTACGTTAATCCAAAGCAAATGTAGAATGGCGGCAGCATAAAGCCTGTAAAATGTCCTCAATACTGTTATCCTCTGATGCAATGGATAGCCACAGTGGATACGCAGAAAATGTGCCCACACCAAACGGTCGAAGACATTTGCTGAGACGCCTCCTAGGCCCAGTTAATGAAGACAAGATAACGTCGGCAACTTCAAAACCTAATAGCCGCACCTGCATATGTGCACACCTTCGTGGCATGATAACCTTGAAGAGGCCATTTACCAGCGGCCAAATATGAACAGGTGACGTTCTTGAGAGGGAATCAAGTACCACAACTCAGGATGCATGACACTACCGCTCCCAGGCTTTCCAGTGTCCATCACGTGGCCTTATCATTGCGTATTCAACTAGAAAGCCCATAAAAGGTTCACACCACATCGATACTTAGTGGAACAAGATTTACATTAGTAGCCTCAAACCGCATACTCATCGCCACAAAGTACGCCTTTGGACTCGTCCCAAAGCCTTCTGACTCCAGGTTTGCGAATTCATCGCAACGCAAACCATGCTGGCCCTCCATAATGAAAAATAATAGCCTGGTTTGCTGCAGTTTGCACTCTGGTCACCACGCGAACATGGGCCTCACTCCACGGCGTTGGAAAAATTTGAAAAATCATCAGGCCAATCGTAGTAAATATTACTGCCAAATCGACTCATAGAGAACTGAAATTTGCACATATTAATTGGGACAGTCAAACATACTCAGGAGATATGAATGTTATCATGCGGAAACGATTTCGAAACACTGGTAAGCAAGAAGCTAACCATGAAGGACATGCACAACTTCGTGGGGCAGTTAAATACAGAAGTAGGGCTACCAACATTTTAGTCAAAAGACCGTTACCACATGCAAGACCAAAAAAATATATCAATAAACATAAGTGCTGAGAAGAATGATGAAAAGATAATATTGATGCAAATTTATTTACAAAAGGGATGGATTAAATCAGAAAAAAGACTAACTCAGTCAAAGTTGTCCGCTCACCTAGCAGACTATCTCTGTTTAGCAACGCGAGCTGCTGGCAAATCAGCAAAGTCATCCAACATCTCTGTATTCATGCGGGGCAAATTTGCATGATTCGCGATTTGGATCTGCATTAGAAGAAAAAAAAGTGTGAACCACTCAATGGACTGATTTATCCAGGAGTAAATTAAAGGGTTACTGAGGAAAACAAGTAGCAGACAATGCATCTCAAGTAGGATCAGAACGAAAGATTGATCGTGTAAGAAAAAAAATTACCGGAGCATTTTTGACGGGATCCGAAAGTGATAGGAAGAGAGTACAAAGGAAGTTGCTTAGGGACATAAGAAGAACATCCAACCAAGTCTTCGTGAAGTACCGACCGAACAAAAAGTGTTTTGTTGGCTCCTTTATGAACGGCAAGGCTGAAGCAGTTACATGAATTGAAGTGGAAATGTACCCGACCAATGGATCCACGCTGATGAGGACAAATCAAATATCTTTTGGCCACTAAAGAAGATATTGATACAGGTTAGTTGTTTGGCTTTTACTGCCTCACACAACAAAGTCTTGAAGGTATATGCTTTCAAAGATTCGAATTTGGCTGAGTTCCGTCGGTCCAATCGAGACGAAAAACAGTCTCCAAGACCTTTCCATATATTTTCCAGAGCCTCGCAGTCTAGACCAGTTATTGCTCTACTGACAGTCTCGATTATTTTTGATGGCTGAAACTAGATAAAAAGTGAAGAAAAATTGTTGTGGGGTTACGCAGTAATTTAAGTTATCCGAGTGGGATTCTCCATCGAAAGCGGCTAAAGTTCGGAAGTAATTGTGCGACATAAGATAGCGGCGCACAAATTGCTCGCAGACGAACTCAGACATTATAAAGTCTGAAATAGAGGTATAACGGGTCATTATTACTGGGGGAATGAATGAATTTTACTGCAAGATAGCGTGAATATCGTAACATTCAATATAGTCAAGAAGCTACAAAAGTACTCATTCAAGAGGTTCTCATTACCATAATTTGGTAGCGAAGGAGCACAAATTTACCAAGTAAAACCGACAGAGGAAAACGTGCTCATACAAAATGATGTCAAAATGTAGATGAACTTGATGTAAAAACATTCTATAGGAGCACAAATGAAAGCCGCAACCACCAATTAAGTAAACAAAGTGAGGAAACAAAAGAACAAGTTGTCCACCAAGTACGACCGAGTCCCCGATAAAAGTGGTTAGGATGTTTGAATCGCAATGTATACCCTTCTTACAAATTACGCTTATGTGAAAGCAACGGAAACAGCACAAATTATTCATAGAACTTTAAGAATTGAAGAATCGTATAAATTCGACGGTCGAATGGGCGTAAAAACAGGTCTTAGGATTAATTAAAGTATAATAAGTGATGGCAATCCGACTTAAACAGTCGGCAAGGCTGAGGTCGAATGTGATAACAAACAACTCATACGGACAGCCGAAAACCCTTCAGCTAATCATGGACATCATGAACAGCCAATAACGATTGGCAGAATGAAGCGAAACTTGTTTCGTATTAATGAGAAAGTCTTGCAAAATAAGTGAAGGAAACATGCAAAGTACAATCCATTCAGTTGTAAAACCCCCGAACTGCCTAGCTATGAATGAACAACTGAGTCATATTTCATATGCTTCAAGGCTGTTGCAAATTAGCCATTACTCAGGGTTAG